CTTTCCCTAACAACACTGGAAATCCCCCCAAACACAAAAGAAACAAAAAACAAAACCCCAACACATAAATCTGTCTGTAAGAAGGATGAAAAAGAGTTTTAATGTAGGTGTGCTGTGTATTGGTTGTGTAATAGTATTTTTACGCACATACCATTCCAAAAAAAGGCCTTTAAATTAGTGTCGTTTTCATTTTATAAATAACTGAATGGAAAGCGGTATATTTTTAAGCTACAGATACTACACTTAATGCCTGAGATAATAAAGGTAAGGATATTTCTGGTTGTTTTAACCAGCATAAATTGTCCTCTCATACTCATTTCCACACTGTGGCACTATTTTTGAAATAATGATGCATTATGATTTCATAAGTCTTTAAAAAAAAGCAAAGAACTCTTCTGAAAACTTTACAAATTAAAAAAAAGCAAACAACCCACAATCAAAAACAAAACATCCAGCTTAATGAGTTCTCTGCACAACCAGGTACCTCACAAACACATAGTAGCAACATGGAGGTGGAAGTATAGAAGTGGGAAAAAAAAATGTCCATGTATTTTGGTTGTGTTACTAATTTTCTAGTGTCCTCTGTCTTTCTATTCTGGCCTGAAATACTGTCTTAAGGGGTTTTTAATCTGACTGTTAATATTAATTTCAGACATTTTCAGAAATTCCTAATCTTAAATCTTCTCCAACCAAAATAATTATAAGATTCTATGTATGCAAACTATCAACTCAGAAAGGTTCTGTATGAAACAGAGAACTAGGTTTAAGTTGCTGTTTCTAAAGTATTCAGTTTTTGTAACATAACATTAAACATCACGTCAAATAGGCTCATGGCCCCTGAAGAGTAATTAATTTTATCACAAAACAACATAGTTTGCTTAATAAGAACCACAGCTCTTAAATCTATTGACTAGAACCACTATTGACAAGAAGGTAAATTTTAAGATAAATTCAATTATCTTCTTGGCCATCAAAAATTCTAATAAATAACCAGAATACAGAAGAAAAACACAACTCCTCTAGACACTGCAGAAAGCCTTTAAGTTAATGTAATCAAAGAAAACAAATTGTAACAGAGAAAGAAAACAAAACAATTTTGATGGAGATTTACAGACTATAAAATAAAAAAATGACTAAAATATTTCTATAATTCTTCAGTTATTACAATAAAAATTCATTCTAAATAAATGCAAAGAAAATGCAACTTATACTTTTACTGCCTTTATACTTTTTTTGTTTGCTTTGTAGGTTCAGTGTAATTAATCCAAAACATTTTTTTAATTCTTATAATAGTGTATTTTGTAAAATAAATACATATAAAAAGGTTATTATTGATATTGAAGAAAATTTACCTGGAGCAGTTTATACAGTCTACAATCCCACCAAAAGATTTATCATCATTTTCAAAGAAATACTGAGTTTGCTCAGTGATACAACTTGTTTTAGACAGGGCAGCACTGAAATCTTCATCTTCCATATCAGCTGGCAGAAAGAAGAAAACAAGTAAGTAACCAATGACATTTTTAAGTCACAGATGCAATGGGGAGATCCAAATATGGCCCCCGACATAGATTCTTACCTTCTACTTCACTCAAAGTTGACTCTTTTAACATTCTCTTGACTTACCTGCCTCAAGGAAACGTGGAAAGGTCAAGCTCAAAAACAGCTGCTGTAAGATAGACCTGAACACAGAGAGACAACATATTTGTGACAGGCTTTTGATCATCTTTATATTTTACTGGGTCCTTAAACACTACCCAAATCAAAGTAAGTAAGTAACAGAAAAATAAGTAACAGAATCATCATGACTAATTAAGCTTTTGCCAGTTATTAAACCCATGTTTCTTTAAATCCTACAGTTTGACTCTGGTTTTCATTCCACACTTTCTCCCAGGAATTCTTTCATATTAAATTTTATTCTACTGCTGAGATTTCCTATCATTTGTGCCCATGAGTCACCTAATGGAAATGTTATTGTGCCATTCAGGTCCCCCAGGTTATACCTCTGTGAGAGGTGGAAGAGGCATGTTGATATTCCTCTAACACTTAAACCAACCACAACTCCCTTTGAACACACCCAGGGAAAATGCTCCTGAATTAGATACTTTACACTGATAAAGGCTCATTATATTGCTTAGAAGAAGATGAACACTGGAATATTTACAAGTATATTATAAAAATTATTACTCTAGTGCTTGTCTTTTATATCATCTCTATTACTACTCTTCATGTATGGAACATATTTTTCTCCTGGATACTTCCAAAGCACTCAGGCTTCAAGTGCTCCATTTATTTAATTATTTATTTTTTTTCACTCATGATCACATTTTTTCCCTTTTTATATACTTGAAACAAGTACCAGCTTGCCACATACACAACCCCCTTCTCCTCTAGCAACTTGTCAAAACAGGAGTTGCAACAGTTAGGTTCCTTGACTCCCTCTTATGCATAAACCTTCTCAAATTACAGTTTCCTGACATGATGTTTTAGGTTTGCTTTTACCTACAAATAGGACCTGATCTCTTCTCATCTTGGTCTGCACTAACTCTTTCTCTGCAGAGAGAACGGATTGTATAATATCATTCAACTCCTAGGATTCCATTTTTTTATCCTTATCCAACATGATCCATGTGTAAAGAAACTGAATCTGCCTGTCTCCTTTCCAGTGGAGGCATTGCCTGTAGGAGCTCTGGATCCAAATCCACAGCTTTGTGCCTTGAATCATTAGATGGACAGCGCACCAACCGTCATGGATGAATGCCATTCAACAGTGATGCAATTTGCTGACAGAAAATAGTAATATTTCATGAGAATTCAACAGAATTTACAGAGAACTGAGTGAAAAAAAAGAAGCCTGGGAAAACTAAAATCTTCTGCATTAAAAGAGCATGAAGGAGAAACCATACGTACCCTCTTAACTAAATGCTGATGTATCCCATATAAATTTTGAATATTATCCCTTATGGGGATAATGGTTCTTTATCCCACATTGTAGCCTGAAACACTATAGTTTTATTTAATAACCTGATTTCTCTTCTGTCTCTGCATTTGCTTTCACCAGGTGCCTCACTGAATCCATTTTTGGTCAGCCCTTTTCTCTCAGTTTGCTTAATGGCTTTCTTTGCCTGCTTCTGACCTAGATTCCATTAAAAAACATGTCCACAGAAAGTACTTTCATGTGGTGCTTTCAAGTTAAACATCACACAAAATAAACCTCAGGTCTAAATTGAGTCCAGACCACGCAGTCTGATTTGAACACTGATAAACTAAAGTTTCTCTGTCTGAGAAGATCTCAAGTTTCTCTTCTGGATTATTGCCCATCTCCTGTTTTTGAGGTTTTTTGTTGTCCAAGAAAACTGAAATTTTAGCTGTTGCTGTTAACAAAATGTAACCAACAATAAAAAACAACGTACAATATTCTTAGTGCTATCCATGGGAAAATTACTATATGTTTGTTCAGCGGCTATGTATTTTAACTCTTAGGTTCATAAAGTCAGCAATTTATTCCAGTGTGATAATTATTGTAAAAAACAATCATAATGAAACCTTAGAAAAAGGAACAGACAGTCTTCATATACTTATCCCAATGTAGTGCTGGTGTAGGGGTGTAGCAGCTGGTAATTCAGTAGCTGGTAGGGGTGTCTATCTACATGGCTCTGAACTAGGTAAAATTATTTCTCTGGCTATTATAAACAATGCACAAATCAACATAAAATTAAAAAAAAAAGCTTCTAAATTGATTCTTCTTTTTAAAATATTTCCAGTCTTGTGATTGTGAAAGATAGACCGAATTACTAGTGCAATCCTACCTCTCTTAAGGCCAACTCCAAAACTACACAACTGCTCAAATATACCAACTTTTCCTCTCAGCTACAGAAAATTCTAGAACATATGACTATAAAATTATCCAAAAGGATTTATTTTACTTATATTTTCTTCTTTGAAATAGTTCCATAGTGCTTTTCACAAAGACCTAACTAATAATTATCATGAGAATCTTTAGCAGTTCAGTGACATCAGATAACATACTATCCTGAAGTCTGAAGCAAGACTTATTTACATGTTTTTAAATAGAGAACTTCTTGTGTTTTGTAAAATGATTCACTGAAGAGCAAAAATTGATTTTCTTAAGACTTCTTGTTAAAAAAATGGGTAGATGATCTTCTGAAATAGTGAACAAAGTGATCAATAATTCTAAATGTAATAATTTAATCTGAACCTTCACACTGGCCAATCAGACTCAGATCATTAATCCAACTCCTCTTCCTGAAGCTGAATTGGTAGAGTCAAAACACACAATCACAAAACCTGGCAAGAGTAGTTTGGAATTCTACTATTGACAGAACACTGAATTTTCCAAGGAGTTTGGAACTAAGAATTCTGGCCACGAGAAAATGCAGGTTTGGAGCAGTTTAGAGGGGCGGGAAGAGACCAATACAGTCTCAAACTACTGAATATTTATATTTTGGATATAGAGATTTCTGACACACTTGCACTTACCAGGCAGCTGCTGAAGCCCACCATCCTAGATGCAAAATATCTGTTATCGTAGGCTGGGAAAAAAAGAAGAGAGATTATGCTATTTCTATAAAAACCTGCGCAGGTTTAAGACAATGTCAGTCACTGCACAAGGGGCTACTGACCACATAAGCAGAACGAAGTCCAGCTCCTTGCTTTGGTTCTTCTTCAGGATCACAGACTGATTGATAGTCATACGACTTGTTAAAGGCATACAGGGACATGTTAATCAGGTTTCGCATCAGACCAGGATCAATTTCACCGAAAAATCTTCCAATCTGATGAGGGAGAATATATGGAGATCAGTAAAGTATTTCCAAATGTTTTTCTCATTCCAAAAATAAATTGTTCAGATTTATTTTTTTCTCCACTACTTTTTCCTCTACACAACTCAGCCGGTTGTGCTGCTAACATATTTGTTTATTTGTTTGACTATTTCTCTCCTAAAAGCTTGGGTGGAGAAGTCCAGTTAAGACAGTAACCATTAAATGCTTTATTGAATGAGACCATCCTGCCTGGGGAAGAGCAAGAGGTATAGGGGAAAGAAGGTGTGAGGATTCCATAGTACTTGCTCTCAACATTGTAGGTTCATCAGCAGCCTACCTGCCCAAGGGTGGACCACAAAGAACCCAACTTGGTAGTTGGCATCTCGTACCATAAATAAGACCATGAAAAAGATTAATAAAATGACTTGGATTTTTAATACAGCTAAATTTTTGTGATTCAGAAACACTATTCTTAGCATAAGTTGAAAGCAAAATGTTTTTTGGTTTTTGTTGTTTGTTTGTTTGTTTTCCTAGAACTTCTTCCTATTGTGTTTCATGTTCTGTCCTTAAGAATATACATACCTGCTGTGTATATTCATCCCGATTTGACATCAAAAGAAATCCACCATCGTCAAGGATAACACAGTCCACATGCTATGATAAGAATGTAAAATATGTTTTGCAGAAAGCATTTGTCAAGAGAACACTTTGTAAGAAGCTATTTTTTACTCAACACTTCAGAAGGATCTTCAGATCTGTGTGGCTCAGGCTAAATCACAACCCCATAGCCAAGGGCCGATGTTAAACTATAATAAGTAGCATTATCAGTATTATAAAAGTTTGTGCAGATCAAAGGCTTATTTGTGGCTTAATTTCATAAAAGTTGTTTTGTAAATTCTTATTTGCTCAATACTCTGTTAGCTCAAAGAGTGCTATATCATTATTAAATCTGATTATGATTGCATCTCAACTCATACAAAGGGGCTACAACTTCCCATGTGCTCCAGCTATGCTTAAAGTCATTTTCCATTTGCAGCTTTTAAAGGTTGAAGTCTTAAGGGCAGGTTCTCAGCTTGCTAGTCACGCTTGTTTTCGCTAGCCAAGGACTGTAGTGAGTTTCTTCCAGGTGTCAGGTGCAGGAATGGGAAGCCCACTGGTTCCCTATGCTTTGCACTTCATAAAAGATCCTCACAATCAGAGATTGGAGAGATAGCAGTGAGGCCAAATAGATAACCTCCCAGGGTACCCTTTTTGCTGTAACTCCTGCATTTAATCACATTCACACTCCACAAAACAGCTCAAGAAAGACCAGAGCAAATAAAGCTTTTAAGCACATGGCAGAATCTGATACTGTGATTGCCCCTGAAGCTGGGCTCCCCTGATTGCTGGCAGAGCTACGGGATCCCCAAAGCCTGAATTAGCTGGAAACAGAGAAAAGGAGGATGACTAATGACTGTTGGAAGGGCACATCACATACTCTGGTGCTTTTCAGTTTGCAATTACCCTTCCCTAAGGTACTTCTTCTAGTGTTCTTTTTTACTTTTTTAATATTTTTTTTTAATTATTGCCTTTTCTCAGGAAAAGGATAATAGATATTCTGAACAAAATAGATGTTCTGAACAAAATAGATATTCTGAACAAAAGGAGCCTCTTGCTCTGAAAATTACTATTACATTTTTCTCACATTTTTCTTCACATCATTCTCTATTGCTCTTACTCTGCTTTTTTCTTTCCTCTACTTCTCAAAATCTCATTGCAATGATTCTTGTAACACCTACTTCACCTGACTTTTATACCATCTTTCACCCCCTCCCTTCCTAATCTTAATATCTTTCTCAAGTCACAAATTACCGTTTTCTGCAAAATTAAAGCTCAAATAATAATAATGGATTGTCTTAGATAAACCTAGAAAGAATGAGTGAATTTTCATCATCTATGAGATATTAATAAATTGAACATATTCTTACCATACTGTTTCTCTCACAGCCACAGATTTCACTGTTGCACTAAAAAACAGAAGTACAGTAATCTTCACAAAAGTGTTTAAAAAAACCTCTGTATTTTTCAATTATATTAATCAATCACAACAAGGAAAAGTGATTTAATATTCCATTTCTGTACATCAATCAAAATTAATTTTCAGTGTATGCTGGTTATTACAATGATCTCTGTGAACAACCTGTATGCACTAATTAACAACAGCTCTACTGTCTTTCATAAAGACTCTGATATATCTCCCTTTTGAAGAATGCTCAATATATTAAGAGATAAATAGTTTAGGGGATGTGTCAGAATGTTAGTACTGGGACTATAGAATAAAACAGAAAGAACACATACACTACCCTGTGTTTGGGGTATGGAAAGAAAACGCAGAAAACACACTGCCAAGCAGCTCTTTTGATCATGAAATGTTTCACCAGTCTCAAAGCATAAGTATTCCCATATGATCAAGGAAACCACCACCTCCAGTTAGTTTTCATGGCTTTGACTACTACACACTTCTCTTTTTTTCTTGCAACATATACATACACAGATAACTGTCTCTGTCCTTTCATTGTACCATGATGTTTAAAAACTACTGGGTAATTCTGCAATATAAATCCTTACCATTCACTCTTACCCATCCTGCACAGTAAATAAAAATAGATTCACCTTTTTTCTGTTTTTTTATGTGTGTGTGTTTGTTTGTTTAAAAAACAATTACTTTGCAGATTTTATCAATTGCTACAGTTTAATCTTAGGAGGGATGGAAGATGTCATTTTTCTTTGTCTTTATCTATGTTCTAGAATTATGAAAGTAAGACACATACAAAACACTGCCGATTTCAACATAGATTCATTTTGTGCATTTGGGTGATTTAAATACCACAACTGCTTGGCAACTACACATCACTGTGACTCTGGCACACAGAGCTATTAGACCTATTTGCATCTTAAGCTTTGAGAAATGCAAATAAAGTTCAAAAAAGACTTGGTCAATTGCTTACCAGGCTCTTGATTGTGGTTTTTGTGAAATTTTCCATCCAGCCGGTTGCGTCAATTTTTATTCCAACAACTAACAAGAAATACATGAAAGTCTTTTTTAGTAAAATGAAAAAAAAAAAAAAAGGTAACTGTAGAATCCTTAAAAAAGTGGGAAAACTATAATAACATCTAAATTATTAAACCACAAAAGGATAAAATATGAGTTTTGCTCAGTTGTCTGACCACCAACATCCTTCATGAGACCAATAAATTAGGCACTCTTACTCAAACACAGCCAGATCTTTGGCTTGATTTCTACTAGCAAGATTAAAACTGTCTCAGAGAAAAGAATGTTATATAAAGTTAAGTTCCTTTGAAATCTCAATTAAATTTCTAATTCTTTGTTGAGTAACAAACAAATAACTAAAGCATTTCAAGTTTCTTACCTGCTGGTTTCAGAAGCTTCCCATTAATCGTTATTTCCACAGCCTTGCTTACCATAATACCTGTTTCATAGCTATTGGCACCACTTTCTGAGTGCCAAGATGAGGGGAAATAAAGAAAAAAAAGGAATTAGGGTAATATAAAAGCCTCTTCCTCTGAAACAAGCAATGATTATTCAAATACCCAGAATGATTTTTAAAAAATCCTCATTCAAAAGCTGTACCATGCATTTGTCACCTGTAATAGCTCAGATCATCAATATCTGGATGACTAAGGAATACTTCTGTTAACTTTTGTTCTTCATTCACTTTTTGTACACAATTTCACTGCTTCATAAAGTTACTGTAGCCTTTTTTTTTTTTTTTTTTTTTTTCCTGCAAACAGAGCCATGAATAGCTTAACACATGTGAGCAGCTCTGTAAAAACCAGGATCAGAGCCAAAGATTTTATCCTGCTGTCATCTGTGTATTTTTCAGTGCAGGGTATACTGACACCACTCACTAACCAACAATTACTTCTGTAATGGACTTCAGCTTGTTTTCAACACTGCTTAGTATGAAAAAGCAAGTTAAAGTACATTCCCTGGAGCTCTTTGAGGAACAACAAAGGCTTTAGGGAATGTAGTTAATTACCTTGTTAATATTTTATTAAGAAAAGATGCAATAAATAAGTATGAAATAACAGCAATAAAAGATCCCATATGTTTAAGAGAGGAGCATGTCATTTGTGGTAGCATCTGCTTTCAGATGAGCTTTGCAAGGTTAATCCTGGTCACATCAGCCATGAGCACTTACTATTGCGCATATATAGTTTTAAAATACCACAGTATTTCAGACAAACTGTTTTTGGTGAATAATAGCATTTTGAGATAGAATTCAAAAGCAAAGCTTAAACTAAGAGCAGTGGAATGGACACAGTGGAGTGGACCCTTATACCTGCTCCCCCAAGTCAGTTTTGGTGCTGAAGAAGTATATAGAACTCAGCTCAATTATGGCTTTTTAGGTGCTGTTATTGTCCCTGAGTGCAATTATCTCTTGCTTCCTTTTAAAATAATTTTGCCAAAGCATCTCTGTGAAACAGTGTTTCAGTATAATAAAGGACCACCAGTACTTTGCATGTTTTCAGATTTGCTCATTGTGAACATACAGAGGGCCACCAGAGTCAATGACAAATTATGCTGTCCCTTGTTTAGTGCCCTCATAGCTACCTTTTCCTGAATAATGGGTGACATCCTAATTTTTTTTTCCTTAAGAAGTGTCCTACTTGCATCCTTTGTCAGTGACCTCAACTGGTATGAGAAACTTCCATAAGTACACTTACATTGGACTAGCTAGCTCTGACATTTCAAAATGGTGATGACTTACTGTTGTAGTACGGAGCTGTGAATATATAGTTGTCATTATCTAAACTACGTTTATAGAAGCTGACTTCATATGTTTCAGCATTTTCCATCCAATCTTCTCCTGCCCTAATCATAAAAAAATAGTGATTAAAAAAAAAAGATAGTTAGGGTCACATAAAAGCTGTGCTGCAGGATTTTTTCCTTAATGTTTCACAGTTGGAAATATTATGAGATTCATTCATATAGTCCTCAGACTTTGTCAGCTTTTACTAGTTAACCGCCAGATGTAATTATTTAAAAAATCTTTTGGGGAAAAAAAAAAATAATAAAAAAATAACATTCTTGGAACAACACAAATAATACATAATATTTTTTAGATATATTGAGATAAATAGTTACAACAAAATATAAACCTTTATAAAACATGCTGTCTCTTGAGAAATCATCCCAAAAGACTCTCACAGAATCACACAGCATCACTCTGGTTGGAAAAGACCTTTTAAGATCAGTCCAACCATTAACCTAACTCTACTAAGTTCAGTGCTTAAACCATGTTCCTAAGCCCCACATCTGTATGTCTCTTAAACACCTCCAGGGACAGAGACTCAACCACCTCCCTGGGCAGCCTATTCTAGTGCTTAATTACCCTTTCAATTACGAATTTATTCCCAATAGCCCATGTAAATATCCCCTGGCACAACTTGAGCCCATTTCCTCTTGTTCTGTCACTTATTACTTGGGAGAAGAGACCAACTCCCACCTCGCTACAGCCAACTTCCAGGTAGTTGTAGAGAATGAGGTCTCCTCTCCTTACAGAGGTAATTCCTTTATCTCTCCCTCCCCCAAACCTATGACCTAACACCACCCCATAGGCTAGGCCATGGCACTAAGTGCCACTTCCAGTCTTTCCTTAAACACCTCCAGGATGGTGACCCCACCACTTCCCTGGGCAGTCCATTCCATTCCAATGTCTGATCACTAATAACACCAAAACAAATAAGAAATTGATTTTAGGAGTGAAAATCATTGGCATTTTCCCATCTTGGAGAAACACTGAAGAATCTAAGCAAACAGATTGATTTACCATTTCCATGTATATCTGTACTGGTGCCCCCACTATTCTCAGTCACTGATGGGGGTACCTAGTTTATTACATGACCACTTCCATGTTCCCTTTTTCCAATGATACATTTTTCTCTTGAAGTCCATGGACCATTTGGTCTGCTCTTATTCATTTAAAAAACAAATCACCAACTGTTTTAAAGTATTTGCAACCTGCCAGCCTGCCAAAGAAGCAAGTGCTTGGGAGTAATTAGGGATTAGAATGGCCCCACTACTACTGCAAGGCTAGAAGACATCCCATTAATTTCATACCTATCAATACAGATTAAACTATAGAAGTTGTTTTCATTCAATACATTAATTAGGTACTATTCTACACTTTCCAGTTTCAAAATGGTCATATTCTACTATTTTAGAATAATCTTACCTTTTTGGGAACACTCTAGTAATTCCACCATCCGTAACAACAAATTGTGCAACAACACCATCACTGTAAACAAAAATTAGATTCAAAATTGACTGAAATTCTCACAGGTTCCTATGTCAAGGCTTGCTATTTCAGTGCATAAATGAATTAAATACCTATCCTGTGTAAGCATTAATATATCTGTATATACACACACACACAAATATTATTTTGTTATCAAACTTAGAAAAATGACAGCCAAGAAGAAGGATACTTACAGAGACAGCTTACTCCAATAATTTTGGGCAAGTTCATTTGTAAATCCTGCATCCAGCAAAACTCTAATGACCATATCTGTATTACCTACCAAAAAGAGTTAAGACAGTAATCTAAAACCATATGACATGGGGTTTCATTAAGTGGCTAAAATGAAATTCTAAGTTACCAAGATGCTACAGCCCCAAAAATTGTCCTATTTCTATCACACATAGTGTCTAACTTAAAATTACATCAAGTACTTACTGTTAAATAGACTTCTCTGAAACAGTTGATTTCATTTAAGCTGTTTCTTCATTGCATTCTAAAAAACCTTTGTGTCATAGGAATAAGCAAGGTGATGAAAGAAAAGGTCCCAGCTTTGCAAAGTCTCCATGTTAAATTTGGATATTAAACTATTTTTGAAGCATGCTTTCATTTAAATACTTTTTATCTCAGGTGATGCAATGAAACAACACTTAATGCTTAGTTGTGCATGTTCTTACATACTACAAAAATTGAGAGAATTCAACTTCAATATAATATATGTCCTAGTCTCTGTAAAAAAAACCCTGTATTTGCTAACTGAAAATGGGTACAGGGAACTAAACTAATTTTGAATGAGTATCTTAGGTGGGTATGCCATTTTAAAATGGTGTATCTTTGAAAAGATGGCTTGAAATCAGGGCATCTCAAGCATCTTTATCGACACTAATTTGCAAGAGATAGTTCTACAAATGATGAACAGCAAGCATATAGTTTAATGCAGATTTACTATGGAAAGCAAAACAAGGCTAAATAGGAGCTGAATAATGTAAAGGGAAAATCTGACTCTTGGTATTCAATGCCACACAGTAAATCAGTGTAAGAACCATGACCAGAACCTGCATCTCTGAATTCTGCCAAACCCCACTTGCTCAGCCTTGCTGAGGAGTCTGAAAACTCCTTCTGGGGAAAAGTAAACCCCCTAACTTTTCTTCACTTTAGCTTAGAGAGCCATGACAAGCTCTGTGCTTTCCCCTAAGGCTTGTATTCCAGAAAAATCATAGTAATCTTTTATTTTAAAAAAAGTCCTAATTCAACCTGTTTTTACAAAACAGATCAACAGGGACATGTATTGGGGTACTGAAAAGCTTAACAAGGTTTAGCAAAAAGGCTTTTTCATAAAATCACTGAAGCCTGAATGTGTGAGCATGCTATGCCCAGAGCCAGCAGCTCTGATTCACCAGCAAGAAGGACTGTTCTCATATAATTTTAATACAGTAATTTAATTCTCATTAGATATATTTACATGGCTTCACTAGATAAACTTGTCAAACTGCCTCAAATGCCACAGACTCACAGTCCCTGTTTTAATGATTTGCATGCCTGCTGCCATGGTACAGTATCTAATATAAGTTAGGGCAGTGTTTTAAAAATATTTCTTCATCTGGAAGCAATGACAAAATCTCACAAGATGAAATATGGATGGACTTGCTGCATATCCATTTTTCTAGAAATTCAATTGATCTTCTATCTGAATGTAAATATCAAAATGTGTCTCTTGGAGTGATATTTATCTCTGCTGATATAGACTCCTAATATTTTAATGGATGCATTTTTTGTTTAGGATCCCCTTGTATTGCATGCATCTCCACAAAGTGACTCAATTTCAATAAAGCAGATGTTGAAGACAAGCAGGCTCTTACTCTCCGGTAAGTAACTGCTCTTACTGTCCCCTTAGTAATGACAGAGGTAGTTAGAGGTAGTTGGTGTCTCCCTGGCTAACTCAAAAAGTTTAAAGTTGGATGGGGTGGATAAAAATAGAACAAAACAAAAACTTATAGTATATACATTATTTCAATTTGGGGACTTTATTAGTTATTCATTTTGAAAAGCATTTTTAGCTGAGATAATGTCCATTCCCACTGTTTCTTCTCGTCAACATGCTTTACTTATTTGGGAGACAATTTTTAAGGTACTTCATTATTAGCAAAAAGAAGGAATAAAGTGAATTTTGTTGTGGATTTAAAAATTAAATCTAGCAATAATTTTGGCATACTTACTAAGCCCTAGTGCATGCTACAGTATCACAAAATGTATCCTCAATATTAGCTTATGTAATCAGTGAATATTAAGCTAGAATTTGCGTTTATTAACTGGTTTAATGAATGCTTTCATGTGCAAGATTGAGTCAAGGGACCAAATAAAATATCTGTCAGTCAATGATGTGTCAATGGGAAAGATCACCCTATTAAACTCAACAACAAATACCCATACATGCACAAAAAATAGCCTTTTGTCAGAAGATATCTCATCTAAGTGTACTCTCCTTTAGTTACATGGTCTAGCAGAGAGATTCTTATTGATCTGCAGTGCCTGTCAACAGTATAGTAAAAAGACTTGGGGAATGCAAGACAATTTTTATTCCAACTGCTTATAAATTATTCATAATATTAAACAGACTTGTACACATAAACAAATAAATCCAAACACTGAATTTTTCATGAGAACTAGACTTTAATACATTACTGATAGTTCATTCAGACAAATAACTGCCCATTTATTGTGGAACGCGTTTAAGGCTCAGTTTCAACAGGCGAGCACCTTCCCAAAGCCCAGTGCTCACCATTGCAGCAGTCGCATGAATCTGGGGTCTTAAGCAACTGAAGCTCAAGGGAGATCTCTAACAAACTTGAGAATCAGCTACAGAAATTCCTTATCTTTTATTCTGGTTATTGATTATATTGGTTCTCAGCTCCTTTACTTCATTTGCTAGAAAAGCTGACAAGAAAGCAGCCTGAAGATTTCATTACAAGATTTTGAAGTTTATTTGAGACTTACTTTGGTTCAGTGTACTAAAAAACCCTGGTACTTGTTCGCTGCTAGAACATAATGCTGAAGGGAAATATGGAAAACACTGGATACATAATGCCCTCTAAACATTCTCAAATGAACCTAAAAAAATGCAAGCTAATTTTACAATATCTACCCTGGGTTGCAAAGTCCAACACTGGATGCATTTCTACTGAAAAATAAAATAAAATAAACCCCACACCATTTGTGCATGAAAGCTGTCCTTTGACCATTTCCCATTTATGAGTAAATATTTTCCTAAAGAAAAATGTCAGTGATTTGAGAAGAATACTTACAGGATGGACTATTTGGAGTATTTCTGTCAATAAATTCATTGAAATTTAATAGAAATTCAGTGTTGTTTTCTGATTTTTTGACATCATTACAGTATTCTCTGAAAAACAAGAAAACATTGGTCTTCTCAGGTATGTTTCCTATGCTACTAATGCAAACAAATATGGCTCAGCAATTTTGCAATCCAACCAACTGTGCAACTGCAGTGAGGTTGCTGGCAATAGTACATCAACTGACTACCATAGTCAATACAGAATGTTGATCATATTGAATAAATAGTTTAGGCATCTACAGGAAACAAAGTGCCTGCTTAAATCTGCATGATAAGAAAATTCCACGTATGAGACAGGGCACAGATTCTCAGGAAAAGCACTGAGGACTAGGAGATCATAGAGTCTGTAAACTAAACAAGAAAATGCCCAGTGAATTTAGACTGCTCCTGGATTAAACTGTACTGGAAAGTACATGGACTGCTGTTTAAAACATAGCCACTCCACAAAGGCCAGTTTTATGGGATGAGATCCTATCTTCTGAGAAGTATTAAAGGTAATTTTAATAGGGTACACAGCACATAAACATATGAACGCTCTCTGTTCTGACATAGGCAAAACAGATAAAGAGTAAACTACTGTCCTTTACATAATATAATGAAATAAAGCAATTTATCATTGGACGACTCATGGAATACAAGCAGGCATAATAAAAGTTACTGGGCATTTTGGAGGCAAATATTAGATGGTGACTGACATTAAACAACTTTAATTAAAATTAGAGAGTATTCAGCAGTAAAGCAGGGAGCTCTCTTTTTAAATAAGCTTTTTATATTAGATTAATTTTACGAACAAATGAAGTCTGCTCAAGTATTTCACATGAATAAACTACCTTATTACGCTTTTTGTACTTTACCATGATCTTGAAAGACTACAGGCAGAACTTGCCTTATACCTACATTCAGTTTCAAGGGAGCTCCATATCAAATAGACTTTGTTCATGTACATCAGTCTAACAACTAGGGGCTTGCTGGAAACTCCTAACTGGTACAATTGATTACCAATAGTTTCAGCCCTTTAGAAAAATTAATTAAACAGCTAAGCAGTAAATACATTTAAAGACTGAAGACTATGTTTTGCATACAAATCAGTCTCAAACAGTGTAAATTTCAAAGGATACAGAAATGTATTGGCTAAATAAGAAGTGCAACAATTCTTAACTCATCTTGATGGTAGATCATTTCCCTTATTTATCATAACTAGCTTTTAAAGGAACTTAAGTTTAAAAACTATGTACCATGCCCTGTTTCCTTTGCAAACATACCTTTACAAGAGCAACAAGGGCTATGCAATTTCACATGAAAAGGCTTAACGAATTTTCAATGACTCAATGATTTTCTATGTTAAATGAACCAAAAATTAATCCATGCTTAAGTAATAGACACTTGAAGAAATTGGACACTTCAAGAAATTGTTGTGAGTTTTACAAATGAGAAGCTAAGGTACACCACTGTAAAATCTTAAAAGACACATCACAAGAAATGAACAGACGCTTAAGATTTCAATTGAAAACATCAATAAATGATGACATCTCAGATTATATAGCTCTCTTCAATTAATATAAAAAAGAATCAGAGACTGAAGATGCTATTTACACTCTAGCAAGTAGAAAAGACTGATCTTGTAAAACATGGATTTAATAACTACTCTTTCACTTAACATTTTTTACTAGAATTAAATGTATTGGTCAAGTCTGTATTTTACAAATGTCATTAATCTGATCAAATACCTATTTACTGCTGAAATAATACTTTAATACCTTAATTTAATAATTTAATAAATTATTAGTGGGAAATTAACCAACCTTGGTGCTATAAAGGTATAGCCAGCTTCATCAAAATGATCAGGCTTCAGGGTTTCTGAATCTACAAAGATGAAGAGTAAATATCAAGTAAGGAAACCAGGCTTTTTGCTGTAATTTTTCTTTAAAAAATATTTTACTATCTTTCTCATGCATCCATGAATTTAGAAATAAATGTTCATTTTTATACACTTTCCTACTAATATGTAGTATACTAGTCAGTATTTTTCAGTATAGGAAGAAAATATTATATACAACATACACCTGGCAACAATAATATATCTAACCAACTTACTTAGATAAGACATTTCATTAGCAGGAAAACACATTAAATGTTTTCATTAGAATTACAATCTGATACAAATAAATATTTGGGATACTGAGTTGCTAGAATATGAAGGAAAATGTTTCTAGTATTTTCTAGAATAAAGTTTAGAAACTCATCCACATAAGAATCACTTTAAGTGCTGCTGAAAATAATGGCTTTAAAAGCTGGTGTCACTGAACACCAGTAGTACCAGACAAAGAAGGATTAAGAGACTAGCAAGTTATTGAAATGTGCATGTAAACAGAAAAACACTTCACATCGTTGTTTTTGTGTTGTTTTGTGTTTTTTTTCTATTGCTATGGTACCAAATGATAATGGGAAAAATCCTGAGATGAGGGATACAGAGGAGAATATCCAGTAGGAACAGAAATATAAGTGAAAAATATCAACTGCAGTAAACAGAAGGAAATCAAGCAACAAGAATATACTTGCCCTTTTTGATTGCCACTATCCATCAGAAAGAGAAAGCAGGGAAACAGAAAAAAACAGGGTAAAGCAAAAGGGGTCACAAACCAATATTTTATTCAAACAGCCCCTTGAATAAAAATATTGTACATAGATAGATCAAAGGTTCAATTTACATACAGCTGTAGTCTGGAAAAAAGACACCTTTGAAGACTGAAGAGTATGTCCTTTTCAATTACTTCTCAAGTACCTTCTATCTACTGTGTCTATTTCAGGGCTCTGTTTTGCAGATTATATTGACAGAAGTGCAAAACCAGATGATCTAATCCATCAAGAGAACTATATTAACTCACTAAAACTTTAATTTTAAGCTATTACTACTTGACAAGTTACAAATGAAATCACTGATTATTAAAACTATGCCATATTCTGCTTCACAGGTAGCAGGCAATGGCAGACAACAGTGCTTTTCTCTAAACTAGCAGCATCTATGCCAGTCAGAGAGATTCACACGTTTTTTTCTAACTTTTTGTTTAACTGCTTATTTGTTCAAGTTTATTGTAACACTTGGATAAATTTAAAAGTCTGTGACAGGTTCTGTTTTGTCTACAGTAAAGCTACACCTAATCAGCAAAAAGTTTTTGAATACTCACAAGTATAATTTTCAACTATCTGTTCAGAATCTGTAAATGGCTTGAAATTAGTCTAATTCAAAAAATATATTCCAAACATCCACTAAAACTATTTTTACAGTGTAAAATAAGCTACAAGCCAAACCAAACAATGCTTTTGCATTATTCTATTTCTACAGGCAATAGAGGTAATTTGTTAAATATGACATTGTACCTACTGTAAAAATAACAAAAATCTGCTTTACCACTTGGTCTGTTTCATTACATTTAGCTATTAGAATGAAGGAATTAGTATCCAGACCCTTAAAATGACAGCAACAGAAGATACACAAAGCAATGATTCTACATGTACAGAGCAAAGGGGTAAGGGATTGTCAGTGGAACTGGGGGACCTGCACATATTCTATCTTTATAGAATATTTCTTGTACCTGGGATGTTTTAATGGTTTAGAATCATTGCTGCAGATTCTGGGTGCATAATGATAACATCAGTGAATTCCACAAAATTTATGAATATTAAACTTTGCTTTTCTAAGTGAATCTGAGACTTGGCAATACTAGACAAAGCCAGGGGACCTCCACAGTACTTACATCTGGCTTGAGTTATTGGTTCTTCTATTTTAGCTTTAATATAATAAAAGCTGTATGATGGTAACACCAATGCCAAACTGCAACAGAAAAAAGACAAGTAAAGCAATTAAGTTATTTGTAGCAGCCTTCCAGTTTCAGCTTCTATCTGTTTTGAAAGCAATTAACAAGTTTGGAAGTTGGATTATCACAAGACAAGATATTCATATAGTGACATCCCAGGCTCACACTTTCTAATAGATACAAGAAGGCTCATACTGGTCTTGAAGTTCTCTTGTTTTATGTTCATTCTTATTTAAACATTTCAGCATAAATGGACTTCTTAATGGATAAAAAAGGGATTTCCAAACAATTGTAAATAATAAAATATATTATTTCTTATATCTAACAAATTTAGCATCCCAACATAACATAAATCAAAGTGATCAGACAATAAATAAAACACATATAGTAAGTACTGCATTGACCTGCAGGCATCACATAATGACAGACTCTCCTTTTACTAACAACTACCATTATTTCTTAGGAAATGTATCTGGCAGTACTTGAACTCACATCACGTTCAAGATGCAAGATATTTTCTTGAATCATGCAGTCACAACTAAAAGAAATTTGACATCATTATGTAATAAAATTTTAAGATTTGCTAAGCATTTGCAATGTGCTTTTTTTTAGATTACACTTATTTTTGTTCAATAAAAAAGAAAGTCTTTTTTTTGCCACTAAATTAAATTCCTGTGTAGAAGAGTTCAGTTCTCAAAAGGCATATAAAGGACAGAAGGAATGAGTAATCATTAAACAGGTATCATCTCCTGCTTCACATTCTTAATATTTGCTCTCAGATTTCATGACTGTGGAACTGCAATGGTTCCTAATGGGTAGCCACAGAAAGTAACATTAAAAAGTTGTACAATTGAGCCATAAATGAGATGACCTTTAATGATACCTTTGCCATTTAAAAAGAATGTGAGGGAGGTTGCTGAATATTTTGTGATAGCTGCCTACCAATTCTCCTCTAGGGAAATGAGTAGCAGTTTACCTGCCATTAACAGTTACTGCTAGCAGAAATTGCTAATTAAAATCTATAATTTTATGTTTAATAGGTTTCTGCAATGTGACTCCATGGATTTATTGCTGTATCTCATGCCAGATAGCTCAGTAAGAAGAAGTCATATAAATCAAATTTATTACTTTACTGATTGCTAGACAGCATAGTCTGATAAAAAATAATTATTTTCTTACAGAATATAAAGATAGACGTAGTTCAACAGAAAAATGGGATGCTGAATAAAAGATAAACATTTACATTCTCTTGTTAAAACTGACTTGCTTGGTGTTGCATACAAATTCATGTTTGCATTCTCCTTGGCTGTACTCCTGTGCAGAACATAACAGAAATTGGGAACCAGTTTGGCTGAGGATTACTGTAACTCACCACAATAAAAATATTGTTTTGATAAAAATTGGACCTGATACTTGTACCACCTACTTTTTAACCAGAGTACTGTAACTTTTCTGGGACTTGATAAACCTTAACTCGTTTTGGACAATGTCAAGTTTCTACATTCCTTCTGATGTAATAGAGCTGTGTGCTTTAATGAGCTTGAAATAACATACGCACCAACTTGCATTCAAAGGAAAATGTGCTTTTACCCATTACTTCATTATTCCTGTTGCCATTCACCATATTATTTTCATATTCAATGTAGTATCAGTGTTAATTCATTAAAACTTGTCAAAATAGATAGGGACTTTGGAGATGATCAGTAGCATAGTTCCTGCCTTTAAGATCTGACATCAAGGCTAGCAAAGTAATGATCTCAGTGACTGTGGCTGAAAAAGATTTGCACCTAACATGTAACATTTTTTTATTAGAATAAAATACAGCAACTTCTTTTTTGATCTGCATATCAAAGCAAGAACATGGAGACAATGCAAAGAAAAGATGAAACAAGGGGAGGAATCTAAGAGTGCAGTAAGAAACAAAGTATGGTGTGATACATGGAGTAGGAGAAAAAGTATTATTATTAACATAAATCATAACATGCCTTTTTTCATTCACACCAAAATACACTAGTGATAAATCTGAACAGTTGGATGGAAGACTGAGGTTCTTGCTCTCAGACAGAGCAACAATTCGGAGTTGTAAAGCAACTCTGCAAATCCCAAATGCTTGGACACAAAACAATCTGGTCTTGACTTGGCTAGTGTAGAAAATGTAACACTAAGATATTAACCAAAGTTAAAAAAATGGGCATTTAAATACACAAAAGAAACCAGACAACAGAAATGAGTTACCTGTAGTCAGTGCCATTCACAGCAGTCCATGTATAGGTTCTGTTTCCTTTATCAATGTATCTCTACAAAGAGATATTGGTGAAAAAATAAATTATTAACTTTGAAGCCTTAATAAATGTGCCTTTTTCATGAGGAATAAAGTGTGCAATCAAGTCCAAACCTGTTCAAATTCTATTAATTATTTTGCTAAAAGCAGTAATTGAGCTACAACTCCTTTCTCAAACATTTTCCAAACTTACATTACGCAAAAGAATCACCTGTATCCCTTTTATTGAACATTAATGTAATGTAAATTTAAGTAAACCCATACAAATATGACCAAACATTTTCCATTTAAAATTCATTAGCCAGGCAAGTGCAAACATTTTGCTTTGTGATTTAGCAGCTCCATAGAGAAGAACCTTTGAGTCCTGGTGGACAACAAGTTATCCATGGGACAGCAATGTGCCCTTGTGGCCAAGAAGGCCAAAGGTATCCTAGGGTGCATTAAGAAGAGTGTGTCCAGCAGGTCATCCTCCCCCTCTACTCTACCCTAGTGAGAACACATCTGAAGTATTGTGTCCAGTTCTGGGCTCTGCAGTTCAAGAGTGACAGCGATTTACTTGAGAGAGTCCAACTGAGAGCTATGAGGATGATTAACAGATTGGAACATGTGTCTTATAAGGAAAGGCTGAGAGACTTGGGTCTGTTTAGTCTAGAGAAGACTGAGAGGGGATCTTTTTAATGTTTACAAATATCTGAAGGGTGGGTATCAAGAAGAGTGGGCCAGTCTCTTTTAAGCCGTGCCCTGTGATGGGGCAAGGGGAAACAGCATCAAATTAGAACACAGGAAGTTCCAACTCAACATGAGGAAAAACTTCTTTACTGTGAGAGTGACAGAGCACTGGAACAGGCTGCTCAGAGAGGTTGTGGAGTCTCCTTCTCTGGAGAATTTCAAGACCTGTTTGGATGCATTTTTGTGTGACCTGCCCTAGGTGATCATGCTCTGGCAAGGGGGGTTGGACTTGATGATCTCCAGAGGTCCCTTCCAACCCTTAACATTCTTTGATTCTATGATTCTATGTTTATCTGGCTGCTGCTTTTCAGTGCAACTGTAATTAATTTATCAGTAATTTATAAAATAAAATAAAATAAATAAAAATAATAAATGCATGTATCAGTGCACAATGCTCTAATATAGTTTATGTTTAAGTTAAGGAGATAACTGATGAGATAGATTCCTATCCAAGCCTATTTATAGTTAATAATCTCAAGAATAAGCCAGCAGTTGAGCCTAGCACTGGCAGCCCCTCCAAATCAGGCGCTGTGCCATGTGTTGCACACCATCTACATTGGCAATAGAAACCAGTGCCCAAGGGGGGAGGGAAGGAAGAGAAGAACTGGGCTCTTATTATATCCTGTTGCTACCAGCACTGTGAACATGCTTGAAAGCAAATGGGATGAAATCTGCCTTCAGAGATAATCTGGGAGATCACAAGTCCTCATACATCTGCTCCCATTTACCTTTGCCTACTTCATTACTGAGTGCTCTGAGACCATTTTTTCCCCAGCTGGTCACTGCCAAAGAACCTATACACATTATTGCAGTTTTTGTGACCCTTCAGTTGTCACTACTGTCCACCCCAGCCACCCGAATGTGGCAATGCTTTTGTTCCTATGGCATCTTCTCTGTTAGCTGGAAAGCCCCTGAGGCCTTGGGAGACTCCAGCACACCCCACCCAAGTTTGCTAGAGTCCAGTCTCTATGCCATAGTATGAGGTCATTTCCCCAGACACTGCTGGGGCCAGCTGCAATACAAAAGGAAAGCAATGCGAACTTCAACCAAAAAGCAAAACAAAAAGAACATCAATTTTAAGCCTCAAGACTGCAACTGTCAGTTCAGAGCAACTGACCACATCAGCCCTTTTTATAAGAAAATATATGAAGCTATTAAGTCCTAAGTGATGCATGGCTCATGCATGGCCCATGGTCTGAAGCAGCTTTATTCTGGCTTTAGCAGCCTGGAGCTGGGAGGGTGCAATGGCTTGAAGCAGTCACCATTGCCAGCCATCTCTGGCTGCTCCCTTCTCCTCTCTGACAGATCCAACTAGAGGAAGAAATCTTAGTCCATGATGAAAGAGGAAGGTGAGGGAAACTAATTTCATTGGGCAATTGAAGTATCTGGGATCAAAAAGCTTGGGATATTAAAATAAAGATTGTGGTCTGGGCTGTTTATAACTGACACATTCTCATGCACTCAGGGACACCACATTCCCTCCCCCCACCCCACTCCCTGATGCTGCAGCGGACTCCAGCATTTGCAAGTGTAAATGCTTCCCCTCCCTCCTTCTCTGGGCAAACAGTTGCATGACCGACAGTTTCATGTCTGTTTTACCACACAGCCTGAGAAATGTACGCACAGTCTGAGATCTCTTCAACAACTTTACCATGAAGACAATATATTATATAACCCCAGCAGTGTTATTGCTTTGTTTTTTTTTTTACCTTCTCACCACCAGCCCTTTTCACTCACAGGCTTGGAAAGACACTCCTTAGACAAATCAAGTCTGAACATGTCCCAGTGAGTCACTCCTTTCAGGAGTGGCTTATACCAAATGCAGACTCCAGCAGGACTTTGGACTCTCCAACAGTGGGTCAGGAAGGACCCAGTCTCCCTTCAGAATAGGAGGACAGGCTGGTGGCTTCCCAGATAGGATGGAACTCTGACACAGGTGGGGCAGATGTAAGAAATAGACTTCTTATGACGAGAAGGGTGAAACACTGGCACAGGTTGCCCTGAGAGGTGGCAGATGCCCCATTCAAGGAAACATTCAATATTAGGTTGGACTGAGCTCTGAGTAGCCTTACCTAGTGTCCCTGCTCATTGAAGGGGTAGTTGGACTAGATGACTTTTCAAGGTCCCTTTGATCCCAAACTATTCTATGATTCTAAGTGTGTTCCTACAGGTCTATTGCAGAACCAACTGACAATGATACTGTGAAATCACAGCCTGGATGAACGATCAAGACATGTTTCAGAAAATTCAGCTCCATCTTTTCAGCCTCATCTACCAAGACAACATATGACTGATAAGTCATTAGATTAGCTATCTTCAAGCTGGTTAACAATTAGAACTTTTTAAATTAGAGATTTTAAATTAGAGATTTTAAAAAAATCTGTTTTAGAACTGTAACTGTGGGGCATACTCTGGGCAGAACTTCACCTTCAGCACACCAGTCATTATTGCTTCTCATTGAGGTTCCCAAGAAGTAGAGGATCCATGTAAGGATCCATATAAAATTTGAGTATTTCCTATGGCTGGGAAACAGTATCAGTCTTTATCAGGAATGACCAATTTGGGCAAGAAAATAGAGAACTCAACAAGCTGTTCAGAAAGGACAAATACATGATATAACTGTAAGATTAATTTGCTTATTCCAAATAACCTTCATTTATGGCACATAAATGTTATATTTTTTTCCCCTACTACTTTCTGACAGTTCAACCACAATATAAACTACTAAAGCCATCCTCACACACATCCACAAGCAAATTAAGTACTTTGCTTTGGGATTCATACACAGAAGTAGGCTGGGTCCATTTCCTGGTGAACAGAGCATAAGACCTCATCAACAACTGTCTGATTAATGATGTTGCAAAGAAACTATGAAACAAAACAATTCTTCTTTTCATAAGAACATAATTTCTTTTACTATAAGCCAGTAAAACTAGCAAATCTAGAGGGAAAAATACAAACAGACATTACAAAATTAATATCTTTTCACCAGTTCACAGTAATTTTCTAGGTTTTTTTGTTCCTATGAATGTAACTGCCGTGTTCCTATCTTACCTCATCTTGGGACTTGACCAGAGTTTCAAATGTTTTTTCTCCACTTTCTCCATCTATCATTTTTTTGCGAATCTATTAGCAAGCAAGCAAGCAAGAAAGAAAAAAACCTACATGTTATACAGAACACAAACTTTCCAATGATTCAAAATATTTCATAGAAACACAGAAAATGACTATGTAAAAGTCATAGCTCCTAAAACATAGTTAAGTTTGCAATTTTCACATTTTTCTAATTAAAAATTGTTTTTTCCAAATATGTACTGAATCAGTAGAGTTACGAAGCAACAATTCTGGTATATTTGCATAGCAACACCATCCCATAAAATCCTTGATGTTGAGCAGTAGAGAGAGTATGAATTCTGTGTGGAAGACAGGGAGTTTTGTCTAGCATTCCTCATGCTTCTCAGCACATCTGTGTGATTCTGGTAGCAGCAGTGATGCACCAAAACAATTTTATACCAGTTTGAGAGCAATTCCTCTCTGAAGCAGGAGTTTCAAAGAGACTCAGAGCGGAATTTAACAGATACTGGTAGTGTCATTACGAAAGACCAGTACCAAATGAAATGAAAAAAATGCCAAAAAATATAGAATGTTATGAAACCCCTGCATTTGTTTTCACAAAACTAAGAAACTATTTTTTAAAATTCTGATTTCTGATTGTATTACAAAATTAGTAACTGAAACATATTCAGAGGAATTAATTTATTGTTAACACTTAACTTTACTTCTCAGTTTTCTTTCTCTGCACAGCAGTAAGTTTACATTAAAATAAGATAGCAAGATACTTTAAAAATATTTCAGATAAAGTTAATATCCTATTAAAAAGTGTTATGATAGAAACATTTTACAATCTCCCTCCCCAGAAATTGCCAATTAATGAGGAAGAATTCTTTAAATAGCAATGATATCTTTCAAAAGGAGAGGATATAATGCATTGTCTTTGCCTACAAATACTGGTTTTCAATTTGTTTCATTATTACTTCATCTGTCTATAAAAGCCATCACCTTAATACATTTAAAATTGACATTTATAGTTAGATAGATTACCATTTAAAATCTAGAACATTTATTGCTTTTCAGTTCTTACAAACTGAAATGCAAGCAGCAGCAACAACTACTAAGAAAACAGGTAATCTCACCTCAACTTTAATATCATTTTCCAATTCAGCATCTAGAAAATCCAGTGTAACAGGCTCCTGGGATTTAGGATTCTGAAGCAGAAGATATTGAATAATCAAAAAATAAAGACTGACTACTGTAATGTAACAAATAATTTGAATCCCTTCATTTCTAAGTAATGTATTTCACTGGGCTTACTTACCCATCTGTTTTAATCTTATAGCATGATGAATTACTGGTGACCCTTTCTCATGTATTTCTTTGGATAGAGAGGTTAATTGGACAAGTGAAAATAAATGAACACTAATGGCTAGTGTCTATCCACAGTCTGTCATGTATGGGGCTCATGCTGGGCAGCTGCTTCCCCTACTGCTGGTATGTCACGGACTGTAATGGTGGGAGAAGACACATCAGAGGAAACATCAGATAAGAATCTCTCATTAGGTGTCCTGACTGAGAAAGGAGAGGAAAATTTGGGAGTTTTCCAGCTGACTGGTAAAATAGGATAACTGGTATCTTTTGCTGTTTTGCCAAAAACATGCTACCCATTGCTGCTGTCAGGAGGGGGAACGGAATGTAGCTCAAGATTCAAGGGAGCAGCAATTATAATAAGGGACTTCTTTATTTTAATAAAATAAAAATCACTTTTATTTTCAGCATTCCAAGACTTTCCCGGTCACCTTGCAGTTTTGAATGCATTTCTCTTGGCATCAATACTGTTATCTCAATTTAAGAGATGGAAACAGAAATACTGTGACCCAGCAGCTTCAAAACCTACAGTAATATACATGAAGTGGATCCTCGACTGTGGAGCACAGAAAAGTTGGGTGGTACACATCCGTAGTAACCCTGGGTCCCAAAGGATTGTGGAAAGACCACTGTAGCTTTGCTGACCTAGCTCAGGCCACCTTCCAGCGTCTACTCTCTTCTCACCTGTGGTCTCCATTCAGTTGGACAGACTTCCATATGAGGTGTTAGGAATACAACTATTTTTTGTGTTGGGTTGTTTTGCTGATTTTTGTTGTGTTGGTTTTTTTTTTGAGTAATTTTGGCTCAGTCCCATTGACAAGTGGGGTAAAAATCCTCAGTCCTCATCACTCAGTAGTTACTTAATGATTTAATGAACCCACCTAACAAAGGACCTTTAAAAGAAAAGTTATATGGGGATATACTACTTAAGCATTGAAATCTGGTATTTTATAATAGAAGATAAAAAAGTCCAATTTTAGTAATTTATTTTGATCAAGAATAATTTGTTTTGTGTAATAGCACAGTTCATATATGAAAGGATCTCAAGGCCTAGATTTGTCAGTAACTGAGCAGTGTTTTTCATAAGCTTAGCAGGACAGAAATTGCCATTAGCTGATACTAATATTTCAAGATTAGTGTAAATTCTGATAATGACACTCTCAGAGGATCTCCGTGATTCAGATATACTAACTGATTTGCCGGGCCAACTAAAGTCTCTTTTGAAAGTTATGATAGTGTTCCTTCTATCTGAACATACTCTGTCAAAGGTAAATGACAAACGTACGTTGACTATTTTATCAAAGAATGTCAGCATGTTTCATTATAATTTATGTATGAATTCCCAGTTTGTACTGGAAGGAAGAATGTCCTGAATAGCTGATAAAAGATGCCTTTGAATAGTAGTCTGGAGCATTAAGAGCTTTACAGTCATCCTTATTTTCAAGACTGTAATGTAAAATAGGTTAAAAGACAAAAGATTATTCCTTCATATTCTCGAGGAACAAATGTACATTTTTCTGGGTATATGGAATAATTCCTATTCTAAGCAAGTAAGACTTACTCTCTGCTAAGCCAATAAATTTATTCTTAGAGAATATACACTGGAAAGATTTAAGACATGGATTCCAGATATTTCTTTTAAATATTTACTGATAACTTCTAATACATTTTTATGGTCCTATTTATATATGATAGATAAAATTAGTAACTTTAATATCATAGTATTAACATATGCTCTATACTAACTTAAAACAGTTCAAATATTTTTTATTTAAAAAACAGCATCTTTTTTTTCCCCCCAAACACATCCACACTCTTGAAATAAACAGCAAAAAGATAAAATGTAAAAAAATTAAAAAGATACATTTTCTTACATGCAATGGATAATGAATAGCATGGTCAAACCCAAACAGCATGCATGAAGGCATTGGCATGGCAGAGGAGGCATTTATGAAGTTCACAATCCATTCCAACAAACAAAGGAACAGAGAAGAAAAGAAATGGTAAAAAAAAAAAAAAAGAAAAACAAAAGCCATCACATCAAATCAAGGTCAATATTTATTTCAAATGATAACCTGGGCTAGCCATAGCTGAGGAGTCCCAAAGAAAAAATAGATAACTTGAACATTCCATCAAAATTCAACTATACATTAGCTGTTTGTTCTTGTTCTTTTAGAAACACACATTATATCACTACACATTCTTTATAAGGCACTTATTAATGACTTTTAATAGATGTAGAATCTTTAAAAGGAAGACTGTTTTACCTGCTATTTCTTTTTTTCCCAAGAATGTGTTTTTACCAGTATTTGGGCTCCACAATTTTTTCTTCCAAGGTTGCCATTTAGTGAGGTTTATTGAAAGCCATGAAGAAACAAACTTACTGCTCAGTTTGCTCTTCTCTCTATCAAGTCATGCATGCAACATGACTAGAGTAAGCGCAACACCACCACATTCACCAGCACAACTTAATAAAACAAAACAGAAGTAAATCACTAGCAATGAAGCATGCAAATAAAGAGAATACAATCTAATTTCAGCATGATAAATAAAGGGAAAGATCTATTAATTTAATGACAAATCAGGAAAGAAACGTAGAAAGAAAGAACTGATGCAGCAATGTAAAAAAAAAAAAAAAAAGAAAAGAAAAAAAGTTAATTAAAATGTCATTGTTGTGCACTTTGGTAGGTCAGTATTCTCACAAATGCTATACAAGTCTTTGGTGTGAGTTGTAGGAGCCTAGTTTCAACTCATACCTGCAATACGAATGAAGACACAGGCTCTTAAGCTTTAAAATAAATGATGGTAAGAAAGCAGCAAAATTCTGGGCCCCAGAGGGAGGCCCAGGAGCATCTGGAGTGGATGAGAGCCTGGAGCTGCTCCTTCCCAGGCAGCCAGCACAACCAGGCAAATCCAGCAACAGCCAAATTGTACCACAGCATGCTGGGGAGCCAGGGGTGCTCAGAAAACTGAGATTTTTTTGTGTTCTAGTGCTGCTTTCATGAGTGTTTAAACAAAAAATCTAGCCCAGAGGTGGTCTTCTAGATGTGGTATAAACTCAGATACCCCAGGCTCTGTAAGATCAATGAATTTAATTAGCTCAGGACTTTTCCCCATGCTGTACTGGTGTTGTTATGCAAGCCACCAGTTTTGCTTTGTATATTCCCATATGTGCAAGGAATTAACATGGTAGACCCTACCTAATTTTTTTATTTTGCTAGTTACAAAGTTAATTTCTTCCTGTAAGGATTTTTAAGTTTTCATTAAGTGTTTTTGCTCAGGAATTGCATTACATCAATGTTAATAATTTCCTTTTCCCTCATTGCTTAATGGCAGTTAATTCTTTGGAGTTGGGTTTGCTAAACTGCGAAACCTGATGTAAAGAGCAGATAAAATACATTCCCTACTCTGACAGCCCCAGTTCATTTGAATTCTGTAATGTTAAACAGCATCCACTATACAATAAAACTTGGCAATAAAGTTTGTAAGAATGATCTTCTCTTGACTTTGGGTTTATGCAAACAAAGCCAGCCCAAGTAGTCTCTTTTTTTCCCCCAGTCTTCAAATTCATTTCAAAATCTGAAGAATAATTTTTACAGCACGGCTCTAATTAGCACCTATTAGTAAAGCACCATAATTTCAAGGAATGCCCTTCACTACAGCCAGTAACATGTTTTCTATTATTTAAACAAAGAAGGATGCAAGCTTCATGCTTTGGAAGCTGTTTGTCAAAGAAAACAGTTCTCTAGTTAGATTTTTCCTAGTAAGCATGGCAGAAGCTTTCTAATTGTCTTTCCAGGTCTATGCATTCTAATGCACTAATCACTTCCATCCAAAGTTACCTGTACATTTGGTCTCCTTTTTCTCAAATTAACTTTTGGTATGCCCACACCAATTTGCTGAAGTAACAAAAAAGCAGTAATTTATATTTTTATACTATTAGTAAGCAGCCTACTTATAGAATGGAAGTCTTCCCTTAACACACTTCAGTGCACATTTAGTGGAAACAGAAACTAGCTCTCATTCCCACCAACAGATCTGAGCTCTGAGCTGTCAGAATTACACACAGGTATTGTCTAGGGAAACAAATACCAGACATATGTTAAACAATATGAATTAAGTTAACAGAAAGTTCTTCCTCTTACATAATCTCCAGAATTAAAAAAAAACGAATAAGAACAGTTTCACTTTTTGTTTACTGGTTTATCTCCTCTTAAAACCACCTCCTCTTGCATTTCTTTCAAAGTGATAAAACCTATGACAAAATACTGGAACCTACAGGAGTTTTAGAACTACCACTAAATGGAATTTGACCAGAACTATTATAAAAATGAAGAAAATGATGCTGATCTTTAGAACAGATTCAGAACTTGAATTAGGTATTGTTTTCAAATCTTATCTAATTAGTTAATGCATGCCTAATGCACTCACTTCAGTGACTATGCTTATTTGGTGGGGTATCCACCTGCTCTCTCCCAGGACAAAAGGAAAAATACACGCACATATGCACAGATACACAAACAAGATTGGCAGAAAAACATAAAATTAAGCATTTGTTTAAAAATGTAATAGAGCTAACTACACAAACTTGAAAAATGGTATTTTAAGAAATTTAAAATTCTATTAAATGGAGAGATAAAAAAAAAAAAAAAAAAGGTTTCCCGTGTTATGCTTTGATGTAGTTTTTGTGTGAAAATAAGAACATGGCAGGAAATTTCGTAATGATTTTAATATGCTTTTGAGCCTACAAGTTCAGAATTTCTAGGGGCTTTTTTTGGTGAGATTTTTCCTGGAAGATAAAATCTTAAAATATTGTGTTGAATCAGTTTTGATTTGAGGTAACAGATTTACAGAAGGAAAGCAGAAGACATTCAGAAGAAGGGAAAATTCAAAGTTTAATACACCCTCACCTCTTCAAAGGTAAAGTTATGATGTTTTAGTTTAAATCTATGGAAAAATTGCTGGCAAAGAGGGTTAAGATGTTGTTTGTTAATAAATTAACATCTACCAGGAGGTTCAACTGAAATTAATATAACATGTTACAGATAGCCCATGAGTTCTAAATATAGCTGTCTTTGTTGTGTACCTTAGTTTTAAAACGTAGCTCTTGTATCAGTCTGAATAGCATGCACCACCCCAAACAAACTGGGAGTGAAAAAGTCTAGCCTGTGTAACTGTTAATAACAACAATAATAATTCATAAGCTTAATATTACATTTAGACATTATTCTACAACATAAACCATATCATTTATAAAATATCCTTTTAAAAATATACTCTAAATCAAATATTTGAGCAGTATGTGAGAGCATCTCTGGGCTTCTAAATTCTTAGAAGTAAAATACTGCACAGAGAGCCCATGACATTTAGTTTCTTAATAATCCCTCTCAATCTGCCTATGTTTAGTTGGGATGAGATGAGTTTTTCACTCTCTAACAAAGGTTCTTAATTCTCCAGTTTTACAAGTTTGCACTGCAGTATAAAAGCACATATGAGACAAAGAGAATCTGTATCCAACTGTTCCTCACCAGATTGTGCTTAAAACAAGAATACTACTTTGTTTCATTTTATATTCCTTCTGTTAACAAAAAACAAACAAAATTGTCTAACAAAAACTTTAATTTTTAACACGTGAAAAACTAATGCATACAATGAAGACAATAGAAAAACATTTTAGTTTTTAAATTTTTGTTCCTTTTCTTTTTCAAAGGGCCCTTTTAAAAAAAAATAGTCAATAGTTATGATAATTTTTTTTCCTTTCTTCTTTTCTTACATGCTTGGCAAAAGCTTTCAAACATATTCATTACTTCACCAGGAAATTAATTCATGTATCCAGAATACTGAGTTCCTTCAGCTTAAGAATTAAATGAATTCTTTGCTTCTTTCTCTGCCTTTGACAGTTAAAGATAGTGAAGTACTGAAAAGGGGGTCTGATATCCCTCCTGTTAGCTATAGAGGGACTTTCTGGTGAAGAAACAAAAGACAGTCACACAGCCAAGATTTGCTCTTCTGCCACAGGAACATAGCTGGGAGGAATAAAGTGATGGATATGCATCCAATTTACAAAACCCCCAGTATTTCCATGCCTAAAGGTAGCAAATACAGGCTTCCATTACTAAAGAATTTCTCTACAGTGTACTGAGTGCTAAAAGGTAACTTAGGAGTAGGGTGCCTTACAAGCCTGTGTATTGACAGTTTGCATTTATCTTGCCTGTATATTGCTCAAACTATCTGAATGAGAAATTTCAGTATTAACAACTGAACTACATGGATATATTGTTTGGTCTTCAATTCTTACAGTGATTCATTATTAGTTTAATATATAATCTGTACATAATCCATACACATCTCTCAACCTGGAGTGTTTTTTTATTATTATTACTTTTAATTCATTCAATTTTAACTTGGCATTTTATACAATTCTGCATTTGTGCACTAGGAACTCTTGAGACAAAATTTGCTGAAAGTATGTTTCTAATGTAATTAAAATACAAATATTTTAAAATATTCCACTAAACAGAAGATTGTTTGACATGGAGACACCCTTCACTAAAAAAAACCCTAAAATTCTTATTTCAGAAAAACCCAAAACCAACATCCATCCATGTTTAATGAGAAGTATCTCATTAAAACCAGGGAGGTAGCTTATTTAAGAAGACACATGCAATGTAGGAGGCTGCCCCGGATCAGGACTACAGTTAATGGATAAAAATGCAGACTGAAATATTTGGTCTAGATTTTTCTGATATTTGAAGAAAGTTGCATCCTAATCAGATTTAGATAAAGACTTAATCTTTAAAGATGAAAGCCCTTTCTCACATTAAACTACTAAAAACTCCAGCAGTCTGGGAGAGAGTTCTCAGCTAGATCCACACCAACTCTGCAGCTTGGGTTTCAGCTCTGGTAAACAGAAGATGATTTTGCAAGTCTGGACGTTTCAATTTCTGATATGAGAATGCATCACAAAATAAACGTGCACTAGTAAACACCTCAGTTTGCTTCAAGAACATCTTGTAAAATACTACAAGTTCTTAATTATTATATTACAACTACCATTAGTTGTTTTCATATTATAGGCATACTAAACCATTTATTTCACATACAAAAACATTTGTCTAATATATATATATGTTCTTTCTTTTATTGATAACCAAATTCAATACAACGCAATGCTGGTCTCTGTGCTGACTAAAGCAGATTTGGATGAAGCCACACATGCACCATGAATTTTGCTGACACCTCCAAAACTGAGAAATATTTACTATTGCTCTCTGGCTCTCTGGCACTTTCAGCAGATCTAAGATGTTTCTGTTAATTCTGACAATGTCTCCTTATTATAGAGAAATAAATTAGGTTTTTCATACCTTTGGTTGGAGATTTGGATGAAGTAGCACATACCCATTAGGATCAATTGCAAAATAGTATCCATTTGGGCAAAGCTGAAAGAAATAAATGAAGTTTAATATTGCAAGGTTTTAAGCCATAAAGATTAATTAATGGATTTTAAGCAATGGCCACATTAAGGAAAATACATTGCCTCATGCATAATTAAATAACTGAGATATTAACATACAGAAGGTAACTTATTAATATTTATTCTTTTAGAATCATAAACGTGGTGAGTAACTTAGGCTGATGGGACCACTGGAGGTTACCCTGATGCAAAACTTCACTGAAAGCAGTGCTAACTTCACAAGAAGATCCAACTTCAAAGTTGGCCTAGGTTTCAAGAGGTCTTCGAACACCTCCAGTGACAATCCCACAACCTGTCTGTACAACCTGCTCAAGTGTTTAACAGCCCTTGCAATGACTTTTTTTCTTACTTCTACTTGGAATTTCCATTGCCAAAACTATGTCAGTTGGTTCTTGTTTTTGTTATAATTCAAGAAATGTCAAGGTCCATCTTCACTATAACTCCCATTAGATAACCCATCAGTCTTCATCTACAGTCTGAACAAACCCATCTTCCTCAGCTTCTCCTCATACACCATGTACTCCAGCCCCCTGGACAACTTAGAGGCTCTGCACTGGACTCTGTCCAGTGTCTCAATGTATTTCTTGTACAGAGGTGGGCAAACATGGACACAGTTCTCCTGATGCAGGTGTTTACTTCACAGCTGGCCTTCTTTACTGCATCAACATACTGCTAACTTAGGTTCAGCTTGTTCTCCACCATGGCCCTCAGGCCCCTTCCTGACTTTTGAGGCATTCTGCTCCAGCTTGTGTTGTGGCATGGGATTATTCCATTCTAGATGCTGGACGTTGCATTTGCCTTTGGTCAAATTCGTGATGTTCCTTTACTTCCTTAGATGTTGTTTTCCACAGTACTAGTTATTTTCTTAGACATTCCCCAGCTAGACGTCTAAATATATAAATCAATCATACTGAGTGAGGTACAGACAGACACATATTTTTATAAACTTTTCTACAAAGAACTGTCCTATATAAATACTAAGTATTATTATTATTAGTTGAAATAATTGTGTATTCTAAACTGTGATAAGAATCAAATGCTCAACTAAAGAGTAGTGCCTTAAGCTACAGGAAAATAATTACTTTGAATATACACCCTAATGTAAAAGTTAGCTTTTACAGATGGATCCTGATGGCCAGCTCACACAGAAGCACATATATGGCTGGAGAGAAAACTGTCAGAAAATCTTCAACAATGGAAAAGAATATATGAAAAGAAGCCTGCTGGTATTTTGACCACATCCAGTCATTGCTGCATGACTTGTGAAAGAGCATGCAAAGAAATCATACATAAAGAGAAACCAACAAAAGCTACTTACTGTAAATCGGGGTGTCAGTTTTTTTATGTCCTCCAAAGAGACATCAACCCCCATTACTCCAAGAATCAGCTGATTCTGGTAAGATTCAAAAATGTTAGAATATGTTTGACATATTTCCAATGCAGAATTACTACAACAATCAGCAAATTTTTATTTTGCCTTCATCACTTGTTTGATGGGCACTATTTGAGAAGTTGCCTATTTACCTATGTTTCTATTCTAAATATTTTAGATAATATCCAATTGATTCAAAAGAACAATAATCAGATTCAGAATTTTGTATAGAATACTAAAGCTGTTTATGAAGGTGAATATGATGCTTTCCAGCATGAATAAACAAGAAATGTAAGAACAAAACAGGTGAAAGCAAAAATTCATATAGAGACAAATCAAGAATATTCAAGTTCTCCTCTTGTTCCTCTGTAATAGACCATCATCAGTTTACTTCTCAGAAAGACATCTTTTGATAATAAATAGCCTCTCACTTTGCAACCAGACTCTGTGAACACTAGAGATTATCTTGTAGATAAGTTTATAAAACCTTTTTTGTTGTTGTTGGTTTGTTTTCAACGGGAAACTAAAATAACTAATCTGAATGTAAATAGAACAAACCATAGTGTCAAGTTTGTATTTATTAATTCTGAGTCTGTTTAGTATCAGAGAAACTCAATCAAAGAACACCTTGGCTAAACTTCTGTATATTTTGTCCTGAATGAGCATGAGTATGGTATTTCACCACACTCTGTAAAGCATATTTTATGTCTAATTTTTAAAAAGCAGTATTTTGATCTTCTGAAGAGGACATAAACTAGTTGTTCCTTATCAGACTGTAATAGGGATGGACAATTGTATTTACGTGATACTTACATTTTAATCTAAGTATATAGTGCTATTTTCTACCATCATTACAACCAACTAACTTAAAATCTCCACATCATTGCTATTTACCCTGAAATGTCACAGCTTCACAGAATTTTATAGATGTATCTGGGTTTCCTTTCTTGGCAAGGTCTAAATAATATAATAATCTATTTCTTATCTATTGAGCTCTCAACACATTCCCACTGCCACTGGGTCACAGAGATAGATCAAAAAAAATGTCATGCCCTGAAACTCAGAACTACAAAAAAGGTGATCTGCATTTTCTTGTTCCCAGGAGGTTATCAGGCAACTAGAGATGACCCCTTTGTTGCTGATGTGCAAGACAATTAATCTGTAGAAAGCTCTATGGAAATAATGTTTTTCATGGAGTTTAGCATTAAATGAAATTCAAATAATGTGTTTTGTTTTTTTGTTTTCTTTAAGTAGCAGCTTACTATTTTCCCATTTTGCTCCTTTGTTAGATTGAAGACAGGCAGAGTTCCTGTAATTACAAGGCCCAGCTCCTAGAGAAAAATCACATACAGAATGGAGAAAAATGTTTAGTTAAATAGCAAATATTGAGCTATAACATATTAGTTCAACCCAGTGATTATTGTAGCCAAATGCTAGTGACCTGACCTTTAGTTTGTAAAAAAGCAAAACAAAACTACAAAATAATACTACATAGAAAGTTGCATTTTTTTTTCCTATACATGTGTTAGAGTGAACAAAAAAATGCTTTTAAAAAATAGATGGTGTGTAACAACGTGGGATATTATAGTTTAATAAAACTAAATATTATGAAAACATGTTTACAGCTAGAGTCCCCACTATAGTAAGAACTCTAGATACTAGAGGAAAAAAAACAACAACAAAAAAACAACAACAAAAAAAACACCTATAAACAAAACCAAACAACAAAAAAACACACACAGGGAAAAAAAAAAAAAAAGAAAAAAAAAGTAAAAATGAGAAAGCCAAACCAACCTTAAAGACAGTAAATAGGTAGGCAACAAATACATACAGGCAAAATCAGCAGAATAATCACTACTTTTCAATTGCTTGCTATAATGTTTTTCATCAGCTCTGCAAATCACATAGTCTGTTCTGGCACAGAGGCAGGAATTTTGCATACAAGAAATTTGTTTCTTTATGAACAGTCACAACTCATACTCGGATTAGCACTCAGAAAACCATACATTTAGATAGCCAAAAGAGTTTTGTCTTCCATTCTAAATTGTCCACAGGGAGATTTCTAATTTTTTAATGTTATTTCAATTTTTTACCCCTTACTGATGCTTACTCTCTTGAGGAACCATATAGCATTTTGCCTTTTCTTCATTAGAAAAAATAATCTAAAATACTTTATTAAGCTACTCTGATACCAAGTATAGCAGGAGTTCATTTGAATTTAAAATCATTCTTCACGAACTTAAGTTTCTGTATCCAATGAAAGATGATGAGATCAGAGTCAATAACATTACAACAAGCCAGGTGAAGAGCAGAAGTGGACTTTTTAGGGAAATATGAGAAGTGAGAGCTGGAGATGAATCAGAAGCAAAGAGAGAGCACAATATTGCTGAGAAGGAGCACTGAGAAGATACATAACAAAATGAGAGAATATGAATGAGTTAGGGGGTAGCAATCTTTCCTCCCTGCCAAACATGCAGTTAAGAGAGGATAATAGTTGTGAATAAATTATGACTAACTGGTAAACCCAGAAGTTTCTGAAAATTCTGTTATTATCTTGCAGGAAGTGAGGCCAGAGCAGCAATTTAACAGAACCTGAAGGAACAGGCCAGAAAAGAGCTGTGAATTGACAAAATATACCAAATTATTAAAGGCAGTCATGAAAGACAGCTTCAAATGAATGTACCTCTTTAGAATTTCATAACCTGAATTTAAGCTAAATTCGGATGTGGCCTCATGTAATACACTTTGCATTATATTAGCCTTAGCCCCAAACCAGCTAAATTGTAGGGCAAAGTCCAGGGTGCTACAGGCAGGAGAAGGACAAGTCCTATAGAAGGGAATTGCTTTAGGGAATTGAAGAGAAAGAATGAGTACGGCAAGTTAGTTCCAATCACTGCTAAAACAAAGAATCAGTATAAGGCTCCAGAGTGCCTTAGATACACCTGTGCCCTCATGCTCTTATGTCAGATGAGGAAGTCCACAAATTGCAGCCTCTATCTCAAAAGTTTAGCTACTGGTGGTTTTTGTTTCACTAATATATTAGTAAATAGCATGTCCTACTTTTAAAAAATATATATGTATATACACACATAAATTGATATATATAATTACACATACACAAACACATGCATAGCACATGAATGCAGAATAGCATGAAGGAAAGACTGAATAATTCACTGAAAATATAAAGCAACACAGTAGAAGTCTGCAGGTATCACTCATTTTACTTCATTGAAAAGATCTCTCTCTATTCCCAGTGAGAAATTTAGCTTTAGCTTTACAACAGGATATGTGCTGAACATATGAACTTTCATCACAACATCCTTTATGTTTCCAGTAAATACCTCAGCAGTAATGAAGAAAACATGGTTAATGAACTTCTGACCATTGAAATTCTAAAGAAAAACTGATTCCTTTCTGTCATGCTCAGTTCTATGATGAGTTGATAAAAAATTTACAGTAATGCTGACTGACAGGAAGAAATGGATTTTAACATGACATTAGATAACCATGTGAACGTGGATAAATACATGATTCCAGAAGACCATTTTGCAATAATTTTTGCCTTGTTAGAGTTACTCAGAAGAAGGTTATCTAGAGCAACAAATTGGATTGTTGCTAATAATACTTGGCATTTCATAGTTTCCTGAATATGTTTGTTTTACAAGACCAAAGTGATAAATTTAGCAGAAAAGAAAGGACTCCATATAAGTTTTTATTTCCCCATTATTTACACTGTCCAATTAAAGAAATCATTACTTTAAGCAAGCAAGTAATTACAACAACCATGATAGTTTAAAGATCCCAGTTTAAAATCTGTAGAGATATCCAGTAACATTGACATGTTTCATCCTGCCTTGAATACTTTTGGAGGAAAAAAAAAGAAAAAAGTAAGAACTCCTTACCAGTAACATAACAGATGACCTCTACAGGTACAGCACTGGGAAACTATTTGCTTCTTTTTTCTTGTGTTAATTTGAGGACAGTAATCACCTACATTTAAAGTTCTGTGTGCAGGAAGAATTGTTTTTCTCTGGTAAAGTTCAGGCCACTAAATGCAAGTAATGACCAGCAGGTTTAAAATAGCTGCTCAGAAAATTGCTCGACTGAAGTGTACAGGTGCTGGAAATGCAAGAACATTATGTTTGGAGGAAACTGAGTCTTCAGGACTTCAGGAAAATGGACCCCTACAGTTCCTGATTTGCTAAGATTCTTACTTTACTAGAGATAAATGCAGATCATACCAGAGCATCCAGATAGACATTTGTCCATTGAACTTGTTTGGCTTTCTCTCCAGCTAAAACCATTGGTCTTCCCAAAACATCCAGATACTCCTGCCAAAAAGTGTAATAAATTCATCAGAAGGCAGTTATTAAAATGAATTTCAGAAACAGCATGAAAATTAATAAATAAATAAATAAAAAAAGGTAAAAATTCACCACTAATACAGGAGTAATATTTAATGGTTTCTTTAAAATTAGACTATACAACCATGCAGTCTTCAGTTTGCAGTATTTACTGCCTAGTCTATCCCTGTATTTTAGACTCAGTCATATGGACCTTACAGATTCATAGCCACTGCTCTCTTTACACAGCATGAGAATGCCAACTATGTTTATACCAAAAATAATTGCTAATGATGTAATGAAATTACAAGCAGATCACAGAACCTTCAACCCAGAAGAGAGAGTGGGTGATGGAGGGTGAGTGGAGTAACAGCTGGGTATGTTAAGCTCCCACAGCCATAACTTGCATAACTTGTATTGAAACAAAAAAAACAGAGTTTTATAACCTCATAGTCCCTGCAAAGCTGGTGATCTTATGAGATGTCAGACTTCTGTTCTGGTTTGGGAGTAAATGGCATCAAATTTGTTTTAGTCTCCAACTTTTTCTGTTTGTCTGATCATATTAGGGATATTTGTTGCCAGACATTATCTGGAAGAGTTTAACCAAATCAAAGGACTCTAATCCAAGCCAAAAAAAGGACTCTTATTTTCTGCCAAAAAATGTCATGCCTGGCCTTGGAAGGACAAAGAACTGCTATGATATTTCTCTGGTTTTGTGGACATGTGAATATATGGACTGAAAATATCTGTTCATCTACACTGTCAGTTTGAATCACGCTGGATAATTCAAGGATCCTGTGCCCTTAATTATCTACACACACATCTGCTAAAATGGTCCTGTACCCTTTTCGAAGGAGAAAAGCCATGTGTTTCCCAGACTGGTTTGATTAATCCATGAATGTCTCCAATAAGCAGGATTGTACCAGGTCACTCTTTATGTCCAGTTGCATTCAGATACTCCAGCAGGGCTAGGGCCTCACACACATGCCTTCTCTGCATCATACAGATCTTTAGGATCACGCTGTCAGTATAGCAGGAGGTAGACTAGGAATGTCTAGACATGTTATAAAAAAGTACTGGTTTTATAGAACTTAATAAAAAAAGGACCAAACAACAAAAAACAACTGTTGCCAAGTCTCAGGATCAAAAAGGAACCGTACAAGGCCAGGAGAAAAACTGAGCCCAAAACATAGTCCTTGAGCAGAGAAGATCTGCAGAATAAAGGTCACTTGAAAGGTCACTAAAGGTCACTGTGTTGTGTGCACATGGTCAGTCTGCTTTAGAGAATGCTAATGTGACTAGTATGCATGAAAGCTGCTGTGGGCCAACTGGACAGGGAAGCAGGGATCATGTTATAAATAGGCTCACAGCAACTTCTAACAAAAATGAAATATATACTACTTTAACAGAATAATCCCTCATGTGTAAAAGAAAGTATTAGTTTTTTCTCTGTTCTTAAGGTATGTTATCTTAAAATTTGATCCAAATAGAGGTGAAATGCAAAATATTTAAGAAGGGGAATGACTCCACTTCTTTGTGTTGTAACTGCATCTGGTTTTGGCCAACACACTTACCTGGGTGTTTATTCTTATGGCTCCAATGGATGGAATTTCATAATAGTAACCTAAAATTTGGAACAGAAATAATATCATCTTACTATAACATATTGCTGGTTTCTAATTTAATTTTTATTGAAAAAATATCATGTATTAATAAAATATTTTTTTACTAAATGCCACTTCAACATGTGGCCAAATATGATGGGTGTCCATGCCTTATAAGCCAAACTGGTTCGTCTTAAGCAATCAGAGTCTATAATGAGGTTCTTTTGTCTATTTTATTTAAAGCTGAGACAATGGGCTGAATTTTTCCTCTTGAATTCCCAGTTACTCTGATGTGCAAGTATATTTAATGGTCATTTTAATATGCTGTGACAGCAATATAATTATATGCTGAATGCATATAGGAATGCAAGTATAGCTACTGTCTGCCACAACAGTGAAGTTTGGAGTATAAATATTAAAGCACTCTAGAGAAAGGATGAAAATATCTAATGGGTATTTCTTCTAACTAAACATCAGGAACATCTTTACTCAGTATTGATTCTATCACTTATCTATCACTTATCTGAATTTAAAATATTGTGCATATCCACCAATAAGACTGAAGACAGGCAGTGAGATCCAGTTTCAGACCAAATAATTTTTAAGTTGGGAGGAAGTGGGAGGACTGGAAGGGTAAGGGTACTGAGGTTAGTAAGTTAATTTGCCTCAGGCAATGCATGATTTGATAATCAATTAAAATTTTTAATTAAGGAAAAAATAGATAAAATTTTGCTTCTTTGAATGCATAAACAAATAATCATGTCAGCTTGGGACAGAAGATGATCATTTTGCCTCAATAAGATGACACAAGTGGTTATGTTTTGAGCCAGCTGGACCTCACTTGTTAAAAACAATGGATTCATATACACACAATATTTTGAGATAGAAATACATTTGTTAAAAAAACCCTCCTTCAAAAAGCAAACATTTATTTTCTGTAATTATCTGACAATATAATCTGTTCTTCAAGGAGTTGTAGTATCTTCTGCATAACCTGTCAGCATAATGAGGGATTGATGAGGTTATATGTATGCTATTCATACAAGCTATGGCTTCTTCTATATATTTATTTTTTCTGTATCTCCCTCTCTCTCTTTATCTCATTGTATCTTGTCATCCTTTCCTGGTAGTTGCTTTGGAGAAAAACAGAAAGAAATTCAACCATCCAAACAAACAAACAAAAAATCTCTTTGTCCAGATCCCTTAATAGAAAACAGCTTTGCTTAATTTCTTATCTGTCATCAGTTCCATCTTTTCATAGATGGCTATTAAAACAAGAATTCTCAGAACTGAATCATAGCATTTTATTATTATATTAAAAATACTGTGATATTTTAAGAAAAACATGGAGTTTTTTATAAAGTAATCAGAAATAAATATGCAAGGTTAATATATATATACACAGACATGTTATTTAATCAAAAAACTTTTGGGAACTTTTATGAAAACCCAGTAAGTCTAAAAATCAGCCTGAAAAAAATCTTCAATTTTTAGACAATAATAAAGACATTTCCTATCCAAAGCTCTAGAAAAGAATAGCCTCCAAGGAAAGAAAGCACATTACCTTTATTTTCACAGGCCATCCACTGTATGGGTCCTTTGTCATAATTATGTTGACCAACAGAAAATGTGAACACACGTACCTATGCAAGTCAAAAACAAGGCATATAATTGATCTCTATGTCATTAATTAGCTTTGACTCTCAAGGTAATGATACTTGGATTCTTCATACATTTAAGTAGAAAAATAACTCTGAGTTTTCTTAGCACCATAATAGATACATTGTTATTTTATGTCCATGCTTGGACATTTGGTTCTTCTTCAACAGAGTTCCATGGAAGGGGTAAGCTTCTGATATTTTACTTTAAGCTCCTGAAATTCATCAGTCATGCATTTTATAAGCGTAATTCTATTCTGTTTAGCCAGTGCACCTCCAATCTCTCTCAGCAATTGAGTGGAGTTATGGCTTCAGAAGAATTCTCAAAATACCATCCAAAACAGGGTTTTCAGTTGAAACATGCAAATTGTCTGATTTGATTAAATTTAAAACCAAAGAGTATTGCTGTATGCAAGTTAAAAATCATTCAGAACACACATAGAAAGAACAAATCTATTTCAGCTTCTGGTGGAATACTTGACTCCAAAGCTGAGCATTTCTGTGGAAGATGGGAAAAATCTTTTCCCAATAGTTTTAATAAGCTGTTCACTGTTATCATGTCCCTCTGAAGAAATGTCCAAGAACCAGTCTACCTTTCCTTTTCAGGTCCCTCTTTCTTTATGGAATTCTAACTTTACTACTAGACTTTATAAAACAAACATAGATAATGACATGAAATCAGAATATTAATTCCTTTATATGGATCTTGATGAATATGTTTAAAATTAAACCATAATATAATCAATGTATATGCAGGCTATGACTGAATAATAAGGTAATGTTTTCTTTAAATAATATAATACAAAGTTGCAGAGACTCTTAAAATTGTTGATTGTTGCTAAACTTTTAAGTATCATGTTATTTAGCATGTGCAATTCCTACATAAACCTTCTTTTGTCAAATAAGCAACAAAAATTTTGTGACATATTCAGAGCTTATTTATTAAGCAAGAGCTATAGGAATTGCTTTAAATCATCAGTCAGCAGGTAGCAATTGGTGAAACTTTATTAGTGTTGACCCCTCTATGCAAGAAGGGCAAACAAAGCTTTTTGCTAGATGTCATTTTTAATTAACAATAAGTTTTGATTTGCTTTATCAATACAAGCCATTTGTTTCTGCAGTTAAAAGTAGAATTAAAGCTGCTGCACTGAATGCTAATTCTGTTCTTGTTTGTTTGTTGTTTATTTTTAAATACAGATAAAATTTAATTTTTTTCAATAAAACTAATAAGACTTCCCCATACAGACTCACTTCTCAGACATTTAGTCAGGCCAGTTACAGTTCTAGTTACCCAGGCAGGTCTGGGAATATGTGATGGTAACATTTTCTTGTCATAGCCCATATGGATAGAAACAGATGAACAATGCCTTCTACTACCTTCAATATCAGTATTGATATCGTGAACATGACTTCACCTGGTGTGTCTGCATCTCATTTATTTTTTTAATACTGCACCACATTGTAAATTCAAGTTACATTTGCCATCATCTGCTTGTTCTTGACTTTGTTTACAAAATGTCAGCTATAATTATTCTAACGGATCTTTCTATTTAATTGCTATCTGTATGTTCAAAGCTGATTATCACAATGTTATTTTCTATTGGTATCTCTCAGTTCACAAGGTCCCTGCCTATTACACTCCCGTTGTTTTTGGGACTCGCCAGGACTGCTACCAGTCCACTAAACACTCGATTCAGATTACACTCTTCTCAAAATATATGTTGAAATTAGAAAAAAAACAAACCACTAAAGGCCACCAGTTAGATAGCAGAGGAATCTGATGTCTCTTTTGGATTAAAAGAAATTACTTAAGTAAGCTAAGACAGTCATGTGGGTTTGCTTGTGTGTGTATAAAACACACATTTCAATTAGACTGGACTGTTTAGCATTTGATCTCAAATGTAAAAATGAAACACTGCATTGGATTCAAGTTGCGAAATGGTATGTAATTTAGGGAAAAGAGCAGAATGTTAAATCTGCAACTAATCTATAACGAACTTAGCATTTAAATTATTGACAACAAGCAGAGGACAATATATCTGATTTACTGTTCTGTGGATAATTAACAGAGATAAAGAACTGCAATGAAAATTGGAGTTTTTAATTGTTACTTGGTTTGGCAAGAGGGTGGAACATTCAAAAGAGTTTTCTTTTTCCTATTGCCTCATCTGGAATTAAGTAGAATTGACAGACCATCTGGAAAAATGAGTCAGCAAGTCAAATTAAACAAGCCAATTTTAGCAGAAAAACATGCTCTGTGCTAACATCTTCTGTGACAGGACCCAGAGTCAGCCAAAGGACTGAGATGTGTCTGTCTATACCTTTTCCTTATGGACATCTCTCCAAAGAAGACAAAAGGCTCTTAAACTAAAACAGACAGATTCAATTACTTTTAATTGGGAATTTATGACTGAGAAGACTTGGAGCAACTAGACTAGACACAATGGATATAAGCACCTCTCCCTTTGTCTGTCCTTCCTTTCAAGTTTGGTTTAAACCAACTAAGTGGATTTCTGAGTTGAAGCAAACTGCCAAATACTCTTTGATCCAAATAAGTTGTTTTCCATCAGCACCGTGGCCTGGTTATTTCTTCCGTATGCTTCTCTTCAGCTTTTTATGTTCCATATACCCTACATGTTCTCAGGTCCTCTTCCTCTCCACCATCCACACCAGAGGACGGACACTTCTGTCCCGTGAACTGTTTCCTAGGGGAAGTGCAGCCTTGCCTCCTTAAAGGAGAGATCCATTTATTCTCTTCATAAAGAAACCTAACTTTCAAGTAGATATAAACCAATGGAACAGTCAGATAAAGAAATAGAAGCTGTCACACTTTCTGATTTGCAATGGGACTATTCTAAGTAAAGTACTTCTAGAAAACTCGTGCCCTTAGAATGGAGGAGAATTAGAGATGGGCACCAGCCTGCTCTGCCGGCCCAGTCAGATACAGTATCAAAACTTCTCTGATGTGTAAGAGTTATTTTTTATACCATGGAGAATTCAGATCCAGAGCAGTGTTACCTCTGTTATGAATATATCATGCACTGGTAATGCACTAGCTAATTCCTCGTATTTTTCACACTCTGAAACTAATACTGGGGAGAAAACACAAAATCTTTTATTCTCTGTGTTTACTGATTTACAGTATATAGTAGAGCAATACACTTATTAACAAGCAAAACAAGTGTAGGATTACTGTAAGGACAGTCAGACTGTGAATGGCACAGGCTGCCCAGAAAGGCTGTAAAGTCAGCCTCCTTTCAGGTTTTAAAGATCAGAGCAGATAGAGCCCTGAGCAACCTGGCTTGATCTCATTCCTGACATTGGATTAGAGACTTCCAGAGGTCCCTTGCAATCTGATTTACCTTTGAATGCTATGAAGGACACGAAAAGGAAAAAAGCAAAAGTTCAACTCTTAAACAAAGAAAGTGGTGAACAGAAAATAAAGCTACGGAAAATAGAGGAAGAAGTAATGTTTGAAGGAAATACAATTGAATAATTTTATAAGTAACTTTTTTTGCTTTGTATTTCTCTCTGGCTGAAAAAGCTTATAGAAATCAAGCTGAATAGAAGGATTCTGACTGGATCGGATATTAGGGGATAATGGCACTCAAGAGCTGTGATGAAGACAGAAATGAAAAGCTACCCACAAAAAGGCTGCTTTCACTACAGATCTCAGATGCTTTTTACCTATATTATTTCTTCATTTTCTATTGGAATAAAATAAAGCAAGATTAAATTCAGACTCTTCCTGTGGGTGTATTATGTTCTGAGTATTACAGAAAATTAACAGCTTGACTTAATTCAAAGCTGTAGCTAAGCATGGAAATCACACTTACTATTCAGACCACTGCAAGTGGTTGAGAGCGGATGAACACACATATTTTTAAAAAATTCATTTATTCTTCTTGGACTCTGTTCAGCTGCAATGAGAAAGCTCCCAATAACTATTTATGTGTATCTTTTCATTATTTGGTTTAGGAATGACCTTTGGAGATACATATTTCTCTTCATCATACACTAAGAGAGGTACATGGTTAATTTACTTGACTAGATGTAGGCCAGATGAATCCCATCATTTTATGTCTATCATGTTAGCATAGCAAGAGTGCTGTGTTCTACCACTAAACAAACTGATTGAATCAAGAATTGATCTCATCAAATAATGCAACTTCAGTTTTCATGATGACAGATTACAGATTATTTTCATCTAGCAGTTATAACTACAGGTAAAGAATTACATATAATATTTGCATTTATAGACCACGAGAAGCTATGATAAAAAGGAAGAAATATTTCCATAATTCCAGCATGATCTAGGAAATTATTTTTCCCACAAATGTGTTGATAGATTATCAGATATTAAGAAAAACTGTGTGTAGTTTATATTTAATAGGTTCATTTCTGAAATAAGAGGACAACATACCAAGCCTATTTTTCTGAATAAAATTATAAAACTGCTTTTCTATATTCCATTATGCACTCTGTCTTCTAAATCCCTTTAGAGTACAGCCTTTAAACCACTTAATCATTTTTCACTATTCTCCTGTAGGTCAGGGAAATGTTATGTGGTTTTCAAGCTGCCACAGTTAAAACTGTGAATACATTTTTTTCTTACTGTCTTTACATCTGTGGGCAGAAATCTGAAGATGATTTTGGATTCTGCTATGAGCTAACTGAGACCAGAAAGCATTTGTGATGAGTTTAACCTGAGAACAGAACTTCAGAGGACAATCTGAACATCCTATGTACTAATTAGGAAACCAACCAGGATTAGGCAATGGGAAGCGCCAAATACAGTTTCACCTAAATTCTAGTCCATAATGTCTCTCAGTTCAGGAATTCCAGAGACGCGGTGCTGAACCATTTGGGTTATATCTATAAATGTAAAGCAGCTTTATTTCCATAACAAGCACAAGGAGAAGAGAAATAAGCATTCTGCTTTTAACAGCAGGGGTAAGACTCACAATGATGTGCTAGAGGGAAGT